TCGCAGTCGAAAAAAAATTGTTTCCGCGTGTTGTTTAGGGTCAAATATTTCAAGTTAATGTATTTAAAAAGTAGGAATTGTTATTTTAGGAACGAAACATTTTCTTATTAAACAACATAGCGGCTTTCACTTTGTTGTTTTGGAGATTTAGATGGAGTAGTTCGAGTAGTCGCATACTGGACAAATAAAGTCGCAGTTCAGCCTTAACAGCTAGTATACTAGTCGCAAGATTGCCTAATTTAGTCATCCTAGAGGCTAGCTTGTGCCGCCCTCTATATTCTAAATAAATGAGGGAGTGGATAAAGTATCGGTAATATGTCGATGTATATTTAAATTTAGTTTTATGTGTGCCTTTCTTACGTCCCATTTTAATTAAGTTTTTTTTTATAAAAACAAAAACAGCACTGAACTGTCTAACTGAACAGAACAATGAAGTGAAAATTTAAAATTTAAGGTTATGGTTCAATGCAGTTACAAAAAGGTAGTGGGTTGACGTGCTACCAACGTAAGGAAATCTAAACAACGTTGGAATTAGTAAAACAGACGACGTTTGCATAACGTTGGAATAGGTCCTGAAAGTGACATCGGAAAACTCTTTATTGCCCAACATTGTAACTACGTTGTCCGAATCACTTAAAGATCACTTAAGCAAAAAAGGTTACAAGACAACGTTTATTTGACGTCGCAGAAGCTTTTACTTTGTTGTAGTACTAGTTCAACGTCGGCACAACGTTACAACAACGTTTACATTTATTTTAATACCCAAGGTACGGAGCTAACTATTTTTTGTAACTAATCCAACGTTGTGTTTAGTAAACATGTGGTCGCAAGTCGTGAAAATGCTACTTGGGTTGTTTTATTTTTAAATGTCAATATAAAGAGGATTTAATTTTGACAGTTAAAACAATATAATCAAATGTAATATCCCTTAATAATTATTGATCTGTTATTATAGTATGAGAGCTAGCAACGTCGGAAAAACAATTGATATCTCTTTTACTATGCTCTCTAGAACAGCATGCGGCCCGTCTGGCTGCCGGTAAACGTTGCATTCCCTACTGCGCATTGAAAGAACATCCTATATTTTTATTAGTCCTTTAAATTCTAGTATTGAATATAAATCGAACATGTCTCCATAGCGCAGTGCGTAGAGTTTCCGACCACGAACCGATGATTCAGAGTTCGAATCCGGGTTAGGGCAAAGACTTTCTTATTTTATTTTCGTTTATATTCTGATAGTATAGTATTAAATATTTTTTTTTAAATTACCAGAATTATTTAATACTTTACTATCAGAATATAAAATAAAAAAGTCTTTGCCCTGACCCGGATTCGAACTCTAAATTATCGGTTCGTCGTCGGAAACTCTACGCACTGCGCTATGGAGACATGTCCGATTTATATTCGATACTAGAATTTATAGGACTAAATTAATAAAAAAATATAAGATCTTCTTCCGATGCGCAGTAGTGAACGCAACGGGTATCGGCAGCCAGACGGGCCGCATGTTGTTCCAGAGAGCATAGTAAAATATATATCAAAGAGCCAGACGTCTTAAAATACTTTCTCGAAAACGTTGCTAGCTCTTAGACTATTATACAAGACTTAATATATGTATTTAGTCACATTATAAAGGTTTATTAAACAAATAAATAAATTGAGACAATTTACATCAAAAACTAATTTCTTTACATTTTTTTATTAAAATTATTAAACTGACTAGAAAACTCATCAAGGCGGAACAGTTCTACGTTATTAATCAATTAAGTTATTAAAAAAAAACTAAAAAACTATTAATTATTATTAGAGACCTTAGAAAAAACAAGCATATCCTGGCTTTTAATATAATTACAGCTGTATTAATAGTTCAGAATATTTAACGTTTCAATAAACCGTTTAGCAGATGTTAAAGTACAAGAACTTATAATTTATGATCTGTAATTATCGGTAGCAAGTCAAGCATAGTCAGACATATTGGTCGGTGATATAGATACCTGTCGGTGAGGTGTATAATCATAATATTCCTCAATGCATGTCCGTGTCTATTCCTACGTTAACGTCGTTATATTACGTACCGGATTGTATGCAGCATTACGGACGGTTATTCCTTGGTATGAATCGATTGGCGCTTATCAAATATTTTACAAGTACAGTCACGCCACTCGAATCGTATCTGGCTTTGATGCATGAACAAACAGACTCTGTGAAACGAAATCTTAGAAAAATGGAATACATGCAAAATATTGTTACGTTTTTCGTCGGTTCCGTGTGGATATATAGAAAGTCATAATTTATTTAAACACAATTTATTTAACACTAATTAACAAAAACAATAACGATAAAACACTTCAAGAACTATTTACAAACTTATTTACAACTATTTCTGCTAGTGGGCTGGTTTCGCAACACTACCCCCTTCTTAGATACATGCTCGTCCGGAGATGTACACGGTGAAGTAATCCATTACCTATTACCAAGAAATTCCACTGAACCCAGTACGACTTTAAGTTCGGCGAATATCTGCAAACTTCCTCCCACGTTGGTCTTTGGTTCGCGTTTTTCCAGTTTATCACTAAGCCTAATTCTGGGTCACTGATTTGGTCATTTGCAAGATATCTTCGGGTTACCAAGTATCATTAACCACAGTTGTTCTTAGGAGTTTCGCTTCTTTCTCTTCTGCTCGGTAAAAATCATTACAGTTCTTAGCCCAAGATCTTCTGGAAAGTGCGTCGGCGTTTCGATGGATTGTCGCAGCTCGATGTTCTGTGTTGAAGTCGAATTCATCTAATCGTTCAATCCATCTAGCTATCTGCCCTTCAGGATTCTTAAACTGCGACAGCCATTTCAAAGCAGTATGGTCAGTTCTTAACAAGAACTTTCTTCCATAGAGATACTTTTAGAAGTGTTCCACTGCTTTAACAACTTCTAGTAATTCTCGTCTGGTCACACAGTAGTTTCTTTCTGGTTTTGACAAGGTAATAACCAATTAAATGAGACAGAACAGCGCCTAATCCAACATTGCTAGTGTCGGTATCCAATATAAAGTTTCCGTTGCCAAGAGGATAGCTAAGTATGAGCGCACTAGTCAGGGCCTCTTTAATATTCGGAATGCCTCGTTAGAATCTGAGTCCCAAGAGAAACGCCTCTCGCCTTCGGTAAGTCTGGTCAATGGTTTAGCGAAGGTGGCGAAACCCTGTACATAGCGGTGATAGTATGTGCATAGTCCCAAAAAGCTTCGTAGTTCATGTTTATCTTTGGGTATCGGCCACTCTTCCACTGTCTTGGTCTTCTGTGGATCTACCGCAACTTCCTGGAAGGAGACTACATGGCCTAAGTAGTATACATATTCTTGATACAGATGACATTTTTTGTGGCTAAGTTTCAAACCAGAGCTTGCTAGTCGCTTGAAAACCTGTGCTATTTTGTCTTGTAGCTCCGTAGAATTCTCTATAATCTTTTCTTCTTAAGTATTTTATTACTAAAGCTGTATATATATATATCTTTTTTCTGCGATCTTATCTTCTAAAATATTAATTTTATCATTTAAACTTTCTTGCAAATCCTGGGAATTTTCCATAATTTAATTTTTTATATATTCTTTCAAATTGTCTTCTAAATTAATTATCTTACTATTCAAATTGTCGTTTAGTTGTCTTCCAAGAGAGTCAAGATCACCTTCTAACTTGAAGCAAAATGTGTCAAGATTCTCACCTTCCTCGATCAGAACTTGAAAAAAAAGCAAAAATAGGCTAAAGTCTCAAGTTTTTATGTATTTTCGTGATATTTTTTCCAAAAATCAGTAGTAGTTCTGTGTTCACAAAATATTGGGATATACCCTCTATAAAATGTGACACAATAAGGCTTCTTGTCTTATTTATATATTTCAGTAATTTGATTATAATTTTTATTGTTGTAATACACAGTCAAACATTATGAATTATTATTTGCTGAATATATTTTCGATTTTTTTTAATTTAATGATACATTACTTTTCCCGTCGAATAAGAAAAGGTAGTTTCGAACTCACAAAAGACCTATCTATGTGAATGACCTTTATTTTTCGCTGACTCTTGCCAAATTCAAAAATTTCATATGCTAGTCATGAAACTGAGACTTTTAAAAGCACTTTGTAAACTTCTCAGTCAACCGATGCAAAATTTTCGTCGATATTAAAACGCCTATTCAATTTAGGAGCAATGGCCTGGCTATATCGACAGACCAGTGCCCGCTTGATTGTCGAAGTTAAGCGACGATCGACGGGAAATCTGTTTGGACGGGTCATCATTTGAAAAACTCACCGTTGTGATGTAAAACAAAGTTCAATTGTTTTAAATGTCCCAGTTTTTCTAAACATAATATACAGTTTATACCAACTAAACTTTTCGTCACGTGATTAAGCTTGACCGGCACAGTGTTGCCCACTTTTATATATTTTTTTTTAATGAAAATATTTTAGGGAACAAAAATAAATTAATTATAAATATATAAACAGTTATTATTTACATCAACAAAACTCACATTCTTAACAGCACAAGGGACATAAAGGGCCATTAGTATCGCTTTCCCGTTCAAGATATTCTAATAATATTGCGATGAGTTTTTTACGGCTATTAAGCTATCTTGTACACTTCGCACTAAAAGAGGTTCTAAAAAGAACAATGTTCGACTGCAAGGTCTGCTAGTAAACATTTTCAAGCTTAAAGTATGACAACACTATTTATTTAAGCCAAAAACTCGTAATACACAACTAAAGTGTCAATAATCGATGTTTCGGGATTACCTAATACTTTTGCCTGACACTCAATGCGATACCGGCAACACTACTTCTCTTTCGGAGTCGTTGTGTTGCCGGATAACGCATTTCGTGTCAGGTAAAAGTATTATTCGGTAATCCCAAAACAATTGTGGTATCACATTCGAATATAAACTTACTCTAAAATAATTCCTTAAAAAAACTAATTAAAATCTCCAAAAATAACAGGACTCTTTATCTGTTCCAGGTTCAAATTTTCCTTTCGTCACTCATGCAAGACCGACTCAGGCCATCCCCCTCTCCGATCTGCGCACATCCCCACACCGATCGTCGCCGCCTACGCGTCCCTACCCATCATGTCATCGGGTCAGAACGAGACCAAGTTCCAGAAACTCACCCAGTACTTCGAATGTCTGAAGAACTCCACGTCCAAGGCGGGCAAAAAGATGTCCACCAACGAAAGCCAAACAGGGTTGGACAACCAAAACGATGATCGAGCTTGTAACTCGTGCGATATCAGTAACAGCAGCTTGAAGGATATAGAGAAGGGAGCCATAGAGGATGAATTGGGAGCCTACATAAACGAACTGAGGAGCAGAAAGATTTAGTACAGGAGAGTATGGACTAGGAGGCGGAACCAGGCCTACCAGGAGACTGAGTTTTAGTATTAGGATGGGGATTGAAGATGAACTGTACGAGGCAAGGAATGGACTACGGGTTTCTTTAAGACTTTAGTGGAGATACTGTAGAAATTCCTTTGTATTTTGAAGAATTTTTTATGATTAGATTATGTTTTTTGAGGTGACCTTTTCATGATGAGTTTCCGATCTCTAGATACACTCTCCCCATACAGCCACGGTACGTGCTATGGACGAGCGTCAGGTCCCTGGTACGTACAAGTACGTACAGGTACGTACTATGTACGTACTAGGGACGTACATTTTCCAACGCTATGTATGTCCCCGGTACGTCCCTGGGATGTGGTAAAGTACGTACTATGTACGTTGCATGTACGTACATTCCAGGTACGTACATTTTATGTTTTGTTCTAGACGAAAACTGGATGTAAAATGATCGAAAGTACTTACAATGTACGTACTACGGACGTACATTTTTCAACGCTTTGTACGTCCCTGGGATGTGGTAAAGTATGTACTATGTACGTCGCATGTACGTACATTCCAGGTACGTACATTTTATGTTTTGTTCCGGACCAAAACTGGATGTAAAATGATCGAAAGTATGTACAATGTACGTACTACGGACGTACATTTTTCAACGCTTTGTACGTCCCTGGGTGTGGTAAAGTACGTACTATGTACGTCGCATGTACGTACATTCCAGGTACGTACATTTTATGTTTTGTTCCGGACCAAAACTGGATGTAAAATGATCGAAAGTACGTACAATGTACATACTATGGACATACAATGTGCGTACTATGGACGTATATTTTTCAACGACGTATTCGACCTAGGAATTTAATTAGAAATAATTCAATGGAAGTCAGCTTAAAATATTTATTAATATAAAATCTCAGGTACATGGTCATCCCTTATGTCTTGATACACCCGTGAGTCTGGCTTGTACGTCCGTAGTACGTACTCGCATGTACGTCCGTAGTGAAGTCCTACAATGTACGTAAATAGTACGTACATGGGGCACGTACTATGTACGTACGCTTTTGTACGTACATAGTACGTCCCTAATTGGTCCCGGGACGTAGCGACGTAAAATGGACATAAAATGTACGTCCCTGGGACGAAGTGTGCTGTATGGGTCCAGTCCTATTCTTCTCAAAAAGTCTCACAATTTGGAGACTGAACTCTCCGATTTTTTTTGATTTTTATTATTTCAATATTGCAGTGTCTTTGCATTACAGTATCTCTGCTTAAGTAACAATCTTCATAAACATAGAACATGTTTGTGGAATCGGTTATGTACAAGGTATTACGAGTTGTGTGGCCAAATTTTATCAAAATACCACATGATTGGAAATCGATCACATTCGCAATATAAAATTAGTAGTAAAAATAAAAAAGATCGATATTTTTAAGTAATTTATATATTATTATAATTAAAATTATTAAATAATTAAATATTATAATACGATTTATTGCTAATGAGAGTATTTTTTAAACGATTGAAAAAGAATGGTCAGAATTGGCTGGAAATTTCGTTGGAATTTGGACAAAACATCTTTGTTGTTTCATGAATAAAATAATATGGCGATTGTTATCAATCGTCATTTCTACGACATCTTGCTTCCATTTTTTGTGCGATCATACTGTAGATACTTCTGTATTAAATGTAAACCACCTATTTTGAGGAATATACTTGAAACAGAATTAATTTTCATAAATAGAAGAAAAACAGTATCTCAAAACATCTATCACATAAATATAAGTGCACGCAACTCGGAACATCCTGTATAAAACCTTATTTTACTTAAGAAGTAACAAAATTAATTCGTATGTGTGATATAAACGACTAAATGACCCTGATACTTGTATTTTATTTAGATTTTAAGTTGTAATTACTTGAAATAAAACCTAATTATTTGAATTTTTAGGTTATAGTGATATTTATTTATAGCAAAGTGCGCTAGTGATTAAATAAAACGACAACGAAAGAGAAATATAGAAGATAATACTATAGAATGACTTACGTATTTTTTTAAAGAGAAACAAAAATATGTATTCTTTTATTTTTTTAAACCAAATATATTTATAAAAATGTAATTCTAGATTATATATACCTACTTATGTTGATTTTTAAATCTTTTGTATAAAAAGTCCACTCCAAATAACTTTATCCACCCTGTATCAAGATTGTATTTAAATCGGAATATCTATGTCAAACGAGCCTCAGAAACCTTTCCACCGCGATGAAATAATTTCATAATTAACCTACACCTTAATTAACGCTAGCTAAATTCATAAACAAAAAATTGTTTACATTTTAGACATAATATTTATAGTATAATATTAATGAAAATTCTAATTAGTTGATTTCTAAACATCGCCAAGATCGGGTCAGTATAAAAGTAAAAATAGGTTTTTGATAAAAAATATAAAATAATGTAAATGTTAATACAGGATGATGCATTTTAAATAGTATTTATCATTTTATTATAATTTTTGGGTTTGCTATTTTTCAAATACCCTGTATAACTGTGTAAGACGAAAGCTAAAAAAAAGAAATAGGAAGTAAATTACAGGTTTATTTTTTATTTTATTGAATTTCCTGATTTTTATTAAAAACTATTTAGTTAATTCATTAGAAAACTTAGATTTATATGTCATCAATAAATCGTACTACATATTAATATTTATTAATTTTTAATTAGGGGTAATTTTAAATTATTTATATTGTTAATAATTAGCATAAATTAATTCTACGAAATACTTATGTAATTTTAGAAGTTTATACGAACTTTATATACCGGGTGCGTCTCAAAACTGGCTCAGCTCTATAACTTTTTTCTTTTTTCAGATCAAAAACGAGATTTGGTATGTTAGTATATGTTATAAATTGGGATTGATTGACAAAACTTGACATATGATAAGTCATTCTATCCAGAGTGTTATTTTCTATCGAATAAAGTAAAAAAATACCGAGGGTGCCATTTAAAAATCAAAAGTTTTAGTCATTTCCGGTGAAACAGGAAGTGACCGAAAACAATTGAATACGTCAATCAATCCTAACTTATGTCATATACTAACATACCAGATCTCGTTTTTTTAACTGAAAAAATAAAAAAGTTATAGGGGGTGAGTCACTTTTGAGACGCACCCGTATTATGTAAAATCGAATAAAAGAAATATTCTAAATTAATAAGATATATTTAGACGAAATAAATTTTCCATTAATTAAAATTAATAAATTATTGCGGTTAAATCAATATTTCTTCAAGAACTTTTAATGTTATGTTTCCCAAAGCCGTCATCATAAAACTCAAACTATTTAAAGAAAATATAACCAAGTAGCCGAACTAATATCGATTCTGATGTCTATTTTTAGTAATGAAAACTTTGTTACACAACAAAAATAAATAAATAAAAGATTTATTTCTGTAATTGAAACCAGAAAAATTAAAGTTTATATTTGGTTAGGAGATATATTAATTTTATTTTTTATAATATAATCTGTGATATAAGATAACAAACAACTTAATATTAATTAATAATTTTTATTATTAAAAGAAATAAAGTTTTCTCTATAAATACTGTATGATCGAAAAAATCGATGACATTTCCCATATAAATTTACATATAAAATGACAGCGATCTTCATTTCATAGCCATCGTTGACGCCGTTTTTTCTCGATCATACGGTACTATTATCTGTCCAACTAGAGGTTCCCTGACACTGACAGTTGTTAATACTCTATACTTCATAGTAAAAATTCTATGATATTCCTTGTCACTTGTTGCATGTCATCTCGCGAAATCTTCTCTAACTCGTTGGACGGACGACTTTATACCGTGTTATTGAAGCAAAAAAGGCGTCACAGTGGCTTTTGAAATATTTATCGATAATGTCTGTCGGGCTAAGGTATATAATTTTAATTGAAATAAAAGTTTGTCAAAAATTAATATTTAATTTTGTGAAACATTCACGTTAATTTTATGACATAAAATAGTCAAAAAAAGTTTTTCTTTTTTATTTGGAGGTATATATAGTCTAGAATTGACACAGGTTTCACAAATAACAAAGAGAAGTGATATGCTGTTGCTAGAGTATTACCAAATAAAATCTATATCATAAGTTACGTGTTAATGAATGTTGTATATGTATGTATATGTGGCAGGAAGGTTTATATTTTCATTTTGAAATACAAAAACCTGTAATATAAAAGAAGAAAATTAAATATATTGATCATAGACTTAAAATAAAATATAGACTACACTATTTACATCTCAACGCGGACAAACAACCTTTTTTGTACACATGTTTACTTCTGGGTACAGTCGACCGAGCCTTCCTCATCCAGCCTATGTTGTCACGTCTTTAATATTATCAATATTTTTTTTCTTGTTATACACATATATTGAGATATTAATACTACAGTTTAATAAAGTAGGTTTTAATATTCCATAGATGTATTAAATAGTCCTTATACTACTAAATTATAAGTTGGATACTGTTTAATAAGGATAAGTTCTTTACAATATGACAACACCGATTAGAGGCGAGGGAGCCTATTCATTCATTTATTACCTTGTAGTACGTGTCGCACGTGTGCGGTAAAGCTTTGTTGCCGCTATCTCCCCGGCTGTATTAACGCATTTTCTTAGCTTGTAGTCCTTAAGTGTTTATTTTATTGACTTTTTTCTGTTCAAAAACTATAAAATATGGTTCGCCAGTGCCAAATTTGCAAGAAATTTGACTTAAATAATCCATTTAACTCTTGAAACGACTTTTGACCGGTAGGCAACTCTCAATTTATCCATTGGGAGTCAGTGGCGTTGTTGTAGAAAGGCGCTTATTTAGATAATATTTTAGTAAAATGTAAAATCTGAATTTTTTCTCTCACATTACATTATTTACTTACTTACATTGTAACAAAATCATAATTATAACCCTGTTAATAATTAATAATGTTTTTATTAAAAATATATTCCGGTTTATTCTAAAATTATCTTCAGAATCTAAAATAACATACAAGAATTTTAAAATGATATTATATTATGAAACAATATTTTTTAATATACCGGGTCGTCTCAAAAAGTGGCTCACCCCTATAACTTTTTATTTTTTCAGATAAAAAATACAGATTTGTATGTTAGTAGGTATATGACATACATTAGGATTTATTGACGTATTCAATTGTTTTGGTCTCTTCCTGTTTCACCGAAATGATTACATCTTTTGATTTTAAAGGCACCCTCGGTATATTGCTACTTTATTGGATAAAAAAATGACACTCTGAATAGAATGACATATCATATGTCAACTTTTGACATTGTCGCTTAAAAACATATCCTATTTTAAATTTCAATCCAGGGTGCCATGGTGTTGTTAAAAACACTAAGTTTTAATCAAGGAGCCTTGGAAAAATAGTTTTGATCGTCTAATAGGTTTCGTGTCTTGTCTAGGCCGGTTAAAAGATGTACAAATCGTATTTTTAATCATACATATGCCAATTTTTTCAAATGGAACAAGGGTGACTCATTAGCATAGTTGGAAAAAGCATTTTTTTATGAATATATTGATATCACACACTTGGTATTTCGAGTCAAATTGTCGTTATGAACCGCGTGTTACAATTACAATTAAACCATATGCGAAAATGTCAAAAGTTGACATATTACATATCATTCTATTCAGAGTGTCATTTTCTATCGAATAAAGTAGAAATATACCGAGGGTGCCGTTTAAAAATTAAAAGTTATAGTCATTTCCGGTGAAACAGGAAGTGACCAAAAACAATTGAATGCGTCAATCAATCCTAATTTATGTCATATACTAACATGCTAAGTCTTGTTTTTTTATTTGAAAATATAAAAAAATTATGGGGATGAGCCACTTTTGGGACGCACCCGGTATAATAAAGACAGTACCGAGTTAAATAAATGTAGTTTTCATTTTATCCACTTCCTATCATCTTCCTTGCTTTAATGGAACAGATTTATGTTTTCTTCTAATTTACATAAGACATCACTTAACCAGAAAAAAAATTACAACAATCATATTTTTTTTCTCTCCTGTCGCCGATTCTATTATATCTGTGGAATAGATCCTGTTTTGATTAATATTAGGGGTTGTAAATGTTTGACTAAAATTAATAATTTATTATTAATTTCAAAAATTACGTAATTTCGATTATAAAATTTCTTCTATAACGTGTATTTTATTATTTTTATCCTTTTTGGACTCTAAGACATTTTTTCTAAACTTATATTTAAAAAACCTGTCCTAAATCTTAATAAAATATAAAAAAGTTTAAATACCATATATTTTTAATTTAATTATAGCTTCATTAAAATAAAAAAATTACCCGGCTATGAGACGGAGAGTTCAGGTGTACTTGAAAAACGAAAGACAGTGTTGTGTTTCTCGGCAGAGTCGTCAGGGAACGACCGTTACGACAGAGA